CGGAGGCCTTCAAAGGCCTTCGGGGGACGCAGTGGGGCCGCCGCGCCGCGCGGCCCTCCTCCCTTCCTCCTCCTCCTCCGCCTCCTCCTCCTCCTCCTCCTCCTCCTCCTCTTCCTCCTCCCTCCTCCTCCTCTTCCTCCTCCTCTCTCCCCGTCCTCCCCCTCCCTCCTGCTCCTCATCCCTCCTCCTCCCACCGTCCCGGCAGACTCCATGCATTGACGTTCGTGCGAGGCCTCATTCCCAAGCTTGTCTTGGGGCGCCCTTGGGCGCCTCTTGGGGCTTTTGGAATAAGTTGGATACGTGGTACGAAAGGAATGGAGTAAGTTTTGGCTCCCGGGGCCCTTTTGGAAGGCCTCTTGGAGCCTTCTTGGGGCGTCTTGACGGCCTCGTGGCCCTTCTGGAGGCCATGTTGGGCCGTATCGGAGCGCTCCGGGGGCCCTCTCGGGGCGACCGGGAAGTCTCTTGGGCCATCTTGGGCGGACTGGGAGGCCCGGGGGCCGCCCGAGGAGCGTCCCAGGAAGCCCTCCTAGGCCCTCTTAGCGCTGTCCTCAGGCGTCCTGGGGCGTCCTTGGGCGCCTCCTGGGGCTGTCTGACAACTCGGACAGCCAAGGGAGCTGATATCCTAAAAATGTACGTTTTACGAAGGGAATGGGGCCATTTTGGTTTCCCGGGGCGCTCTTGGGGGGCCTCTTGGAGGCCTCTTGGGGCGGTTTGATGGCCTCTTGTCCCTTCTGGAAGCGATCTTTGGCGGTCTTGAAGCGATCCTGGGCTTCTCTCGGCGCTCTTGGAGCCTTCTTTGGCGGACTGGGAGGCCCGGGGGCCGCCCGAGGAGCGTCCCGGGAGGCCTTCCTGGGCTGTCTTCGGGCTATCCTAGGGCGCCTCGTGGGGCTTTCGGACCGCTCCGACAGCCAAGGGAGCTGATATCCTAAAAATGTACGTTTTACGAAGGGAATGGGGCCATTTTGGTTTCCCGGGGCGCTCTTGGGGGGCCTCTTGGAGGCCTCTTGGGGCGGTTTGATGGCGTCTTGGCCCTTCTGGAAGCGATCTTTTGCGGTCTTGAAGCGATCCTGGGGTTCTCTCGGCGCTCTTGGAGCCTTCTTGGGCGGACTGGGCAGCCCGGGGGCCGCCGGAGGAGCGTCCCGGGAGGCCCTCCTGGGCCGTCTTGGGGCTGTCCTCAGTCGTCCTGGAGCATCCTTGGGCGCCTCGTGGGGCTTTCTGGCCGCTCCGACAGCTAAGGGAGCTGATATCGTAAAATTTGTACGTTTTACGAAGGGAATGGGGCCATTTTGGTTTCACGGGGCGCTCGTGGGGGGCCTCTTGGAGGCCTCTTGGGGCGGTTTGAGCGCCTCTTGACCCTTCTGGAAGCGATCTTTGGCGGTCTTGAAGCGATCCTGGGGTTCTCTCGGCGCTCCTGGAGCCCTCTTGGGCGGGCTGGAACGCGCGGGGGCCGCCGGAAGGGCGCCCCGGGAGAGGGCCGCACCCTATATACAAGGGGGGTTCCGGCCCGGGGCCCGGGGCCCGGGATCTCCCATATATGTATATATGCGTGTGTGTGATTATCCTCAGGTGTTTCACGGATGTTGGCATGTCCTTCTTTTCGGCCTTCCGACGGCCACAGGGTAGATCTCCTCAATGTCGCCTCCGTCCAAGATCTCGTCATAGATGTCGTCGTCTGGCGTCAATACTGCCCAATGTCTAACGGAGAGAGGCCAAAATAGGACGCGTTCGTGCACCAGGTCATCGTCATACTTGAACAGCAGACGAGTCCCTGGTCGAAGGGTATTCCACCACGCCTCGCTTCCCACTCGAGGGGCTCCCGGTTGCAGCATGTCTCAAGCTGCGACCCGCAACCCAGTCCCAACAGGGTTAAGAAAGAACCGAAAACCACGCCACCTAGTACTTCGTACGTATGCCTCTCCGGTGCCTCCACACTCTCGCACGGCACGGGCGCCGGGCAGGGCGGCACCTCCACCACTGGGCACTTGAGGCTCGGGCAGCTCACCCGGGGCACTTCAGGTCGCAGGTCGCCGCCTCACCGTAGCGCAGCTCGCAGGAGAGGGGGCCTCGGGCACGTCGCCTGTCCCGCGATGGCAGCCAGTGAGCTATGTCCGAGAGCCCGAGCAAAATCCTGAAGCCCTGCGTTCCCCAGAAGGGCGGGAAACATGCAAGTCCTCCGAAATACTCGAGCAGAGGAGCGGCTACGGAAAGATACATCGCCGAAAGTTTCAGAAGTCAAAAGTGCCCAACACAGCCATCCTTACGATTTTTCAAGGATTTTCGAATGCTCGGCTTTCCGACGACCCAAGACGGCCCAAGAGGCCCCCAAGATCGCCCCCACAGCGCCCTGGAGGCCTCCAAGATGGCCTCAGGACTGCCCAAGAAGCCCCCAAGAAGGCCCCAAGAGGGCCCCAAGACGACCCAAGAGGACTCCAAGACGCCCAAGATAGCCTCTAAGGCGGCCCTGGAGCACCCCAAAAGGGTCCCAAGTCGGCCCAGAAAAAGGCCCCCAAAACGGCTTCCGACTGCGTCAGACGGGCCAGGAGCTCACCAAGATGGCCGAAGTTGGCTCGAAGCTGGCCCAAGACGGCCCAAGAGGCCTCCAAGAGGGCCTCCAGGAAGGCAAGAAAAGGCCAAAAGCACTGCTGTTCCTTAGGTTTTCGAAGGATGTTGTCATTGGCTTCGTTTCGGCCTTCCGACGGCCCGAGACGGCCCAAGAGCCCTCAAAGATCGCCCAAGGATCGCTCAAGAGGCCTCCATGATGGCCCCAGAACGGCCCAAGCGGCCATCAACACGGCCCCAAGAGGCCCCCAAGACGGCCCAGGAGGCTTTTAAGACGCCCAAGATGGCCTCCAAGACGGCCCTGGAGCATTCCAAGAGGGCCCCAAGTCGGCCCAGAGAGGCCCCCCAAACGGCTTCCGACTGCGTCGGACGGGCCAGGGGCCCACCAAGACGGCCGAAGATGGCACTAAGATGGCCCTAGACGGCCCAGAGGCCTCCAAGAGGGCCTCCAGGAAGGCCCGAAAAGGCCAAAATCATTGATTTCCCATGAATTGTTGCAGGACTGTGGCATTTGCTTTCTGTCGCCCGTGCGACGGCCCGAGATGGCCCAAGTGCCCCAAAAAATCGCCCAAGAGGCCCAAGACGGTCCCAAGAGGCCCCCAAAACGGCCGAAGAGGCCTCCAAGACGCTCAAGATGGCCTCCAAGACGGCCCAAGAGCCCTCCAAGACGTCCTCCAAGAAGGCCCGAAACGGTCAAAATGGCCTCCAGGCGGCCAAGATGCCCTTCAAGATGCCCACGTGTTCCCCGAAGGCTTTCCAAACCGATTCGGGGAACACATGGTCCGATAGATAGGCAGGTCTGGCCTCAAAGTTCGGCCACATGGGCGCTTCCACAAAGGCAGGGGGCGGCGGTGATTCGCCGTAGGCGTCTTCGATAACGCCAACATCTCAACATGCGCTGATGATTCCTATCCGCCCCCGCATGATGTTCCCAGATGCGCCAAGGCAGCGCAGAGACGCACCGAGGCGACTCTGGTACATCCCAGTACGATAGAGAGGAGGCCGGCGGCAGGGGGCGAAGCCCTTACGGATAGATAGAGAAAGAGAGAGAGAGAGAGAGAAATTATTCACTGCGTGGAGCTCCCCATATGTGCATCTACTCGCATGGACCTGTCCGCCGTGAATGTCTAGGCGCAAGAGCTTTCGAATATTAACGGGCTTCAGTTGTGACGGTCTGGACATCAATCTAACTGCGAATGAATTGGAGTGTGAATGAGCCTCAGTAGTACGAGCGCGTCTCTGTGCATGAGCCTGGGGCCTCCTGGGGCCTCCTGAAACCTACTGGGGCTTCCTGGGGTCTCCAGGAGCCTCTTGGGACCTCCTGGGACCTCCTAGGAAGGTTTCGTGCCCCAGGAGAGGCGCAATCTATAGCAACAGACGTACATAAAACATTGCGGATTAGAGCCACAGGAGAAGGGCAATCTATAGGAACACGCGTAAAACACCAAGGACTCGTGCCCCAGGAGAGGCCCAATACATAGTAACTAGAACCACGCGCGCGCTTCGCGCGCGCTTAGGTTCTAGGGCGGCACAGGCAGAGCATTCGTTTGATAGAACAGGGGATGAGAGGAGTTGCAAAGAGAATCCCACCAGCTCTCTGTGCGTAGGTGGTTGAGCGCGTTTCCTCCCTCCACCCTTCCCCCTACCCCGTCGGGGAGGGTACCTCTGCCCCTAACCATCTCCCCTGGACCTAAATGGGGTCCCCGCGAGCGGTCAGATCGTCGAAGACGGCTCAAGACGGCTTGCAAGAGGACTGTCCTCGGGCCCTCCTGGGGCTGTCTGGGCCGTCATGTGTGTCGCGTGGAGGCCTCGTTTGGGCCTCGTGGGGGCCTCTTGGGGCCTCTTGGAGGCCTTTGGGGGGCCTCTTGGGCCCCTCTTGGGTGCCTCTTGGGGCGTTTTGGGGGCTTCTTGGGTTCTCATGGGTACATCTTCGGGCGGAAGGTTTGATTTTTCGGTTCGTGTTCCCTCTCTTGGGCCCCTCTTGGGGCCTTCTTGGGGCACTCTTGGGCCGTCTTGGGCGGATCCGGGGCGGTCTTGGGGCTCTCTTGGGCCGTCTTGGGGCTCTCTTGGGGGCATCTTGGGCCGTCTTGGAGCAGTCTTGGGAGCCTCTCGGGCGGTCTTGGAGCCTCAGAAGGCGGAAACGGCGAGAAACCCAAAACACAGAAAAACACATTAAAAATCAACGATTTCTGCCTCTCGGGGCCGTCTTGGGAGGCCTCTTGGAGGCCTCTGGGGATTCTTGGGGGCGTCTTGGGTCGTCTGGAAGCCATCATGGGCGTCTTGGACCGATCTTTCGGCGACTCTGGGAACATTCTTCGGCCGTCTCGAGGGCCTCTTTGTTTTTTTTGCGCAAAGGCAAGGCGCGGTGCAGCAGCAGTGGTCTGGCTGATGGGGCAACGTCGGGCCTCCCCTCCGACGAAGCGCCACACAGCATCTAGCATCTAAGGCAAGGAAAATCGTAAAAAAACACGCTCCCAAATGGTCAGAGAATGCTCCAAAAATCGGCCCCATACTATTTGTTGACTAGTTTTAAATCTCCCTCCTGTAGAGGGACCCAAGCCGCCCGAGGCCCCGCGGCGCTCCCGCGCGAGGGCGGCCGCCGAGGCTCGCGCCCGCCGCGGGCGCGCTGTGGCTGCTCCGCGCCGTCTCCCCGGCGGCCCGCTGCCGAGGGGCGCGGCGGGGAGCCCTCCTTGATGGGCCCATTTGCCCATCCTCCCCCTGCTGCTCCTTGAAGTCCCCTGCGCGAGTGCGCGAGCCGCTTCCTCTGCCCTTCTCGCGACCCTCAGTTCCTTCCGCTGCCTGGCGATCTCCTGCTTGCTCCTCTGCTTGCCGTCCTGCTTCCTCTGCTGTTGGGAGCCTCGCTCGATCGGCTCCCTCGCGCCCCTCGGGCTGCCCGGTGCTGCTTGCGCAGCACTCCCAGCCTGCTTTGTGCGCGGCCTGGTTGTCTCCTGCGAGCTTCTCTGCTTGCCGCCTCCCTTTCTCCGCCTGGAGCCAGCCTTCTGCCCCGCTGCCCTCTGGATGCCCGCTTCTATCTCCGCGGCGCTCTCTTCCTGCGTGGGGATGTGCTCGCTGCCCACTGCTGTTCGCTCGTCACCCTCTTTCTGAGTGGGAGCCCTCTGGATGCCCACTGCTGTCTGAGCGGCGACCTCTTGCTGCAAGGGAGCCCTCTGGATGCCCATCGCGGTCTGCGCGGCACCCTCCTGCGTGGGAGCCCTTTGGATGCCCACTGCTGTCTGCGCGGCGGCCTTCGTCGTCTTTTTAGTATTCTTCGTTTTCGTCTTGCTCGTCATCCTGACTGTGCGATTGACTGTCCCCTCCCACCAATACTTCATTGTGAGTCTGGCGATCACCTTCGCCACCAGCTCGGGATCTTCATACTGGGGCGCCAGATGATCCCGCCAGCGCTGCAGCTTCTTGACGGAGATGGACGCTGGCTTCCAATCACGCACAAACGCCACAGGGAGCTGAGAGTAGACCGTGTCCAGACCAGGCGTACTCTGCACGATTGGGATAGCGCCAGAGGCGATGGCCATGAAAGCCCTTGGGCTCGGGTCAAGGCCACCGCCGTGAGGGCAAATGACGAAAGAGTGATTCTGTCACCAAGCAGCAAACTGATTGCTAAACATCTCGCCTCGAAGCTCAGAGAAGTCTCCCCATGGGCGGCCTGGCCTGCAGTTTTTGAGCGCGTTGACCCTGTCGGTGAACTGGCCCGCGGAGGCTTCCTTATGATGCCTGCCATTGCAGCTCAGAGTGAGCGGCGTTTGCGACAGAGGCACCAGCCATCCAGCCTTGATTACCGACCACCACTCCTGACTGCAATCCTGATTTGCTTGTCCTGCAATCTCGCAGTTGGGCGTGTAGAATCCAGTCGGAATCCCAGCGAGCTTTTTGTGGAATCTAGAATCGTCGAAATTCTCTGTCACCCACCGCTCGATCAGACGATTGTTCAGCAGCCTGGCAAAACTCTGCAACACGTCATGCGTGCGATTCTCAAATCTGCGGTCACGCTACTGTGGAATTGTCCTGTCTTGCGACGTGGTGAGGGCCACGACCGGCTTATCGATGTAGGGAAACACCTCGTACTTGAGTAAGCGGATCATCATTTTCAAGTCCAACCTCAAGTCCAAGAAAATAATCCTTGGGGGCGAGCGGAGCCTCACGATTTGCAGGGGGAAGCGCGGGCCAGTCGTGTCCTGTATAAACAGCCAATCGCACATAGCCGCTATGGATACCAACGGCTTGTCTGGAAAAGCCGACGTGTTCTGAAACGATAGCCTCGCGTGAAGCAGTTGCGGCTCTGGTTTAGGATACATCTCTTCAAGCCACGCCTGCACATGTCGGCGCGGTATGTGATTCGTGATCGGGCTGGTGACTGCCGCAGCCGACCTCGTACACCTGATCGTTAAATTCATACCCCATCCACTCACAACGTCGTCGGTACGTTTCACGCAAACTCGACTGCCGTACGCAAACACATGGAATTCGTCTGTCGACCTGGGCAAATCTCTGTTGAGCCTGGATCCGTGCTGGGCAGCGTCAACGTCACAACTGACTGATGGTGTAGCGTTTACACACTTGTTGTTCTCCAGGCTTGTTCCGATGTTGACGACGACTTGGTCGGATGCCATGTCACCGGTGCTGGTCGTGGTGCTGGTCGTGGTGCTGGTACTGGTGCTGGTACTGGTGCTGGTACCAGTGCTGGCTTCAGCCCTGGTAGCGCCCAGCCCATCGTTGACAGTACTGCTGCTCGCCAGTCGCTCAGCGGTCGTGCCTGCTACTGCGGTAGATGCCGCTGGGAACTGCTCCGTCGGAGCTGGCTCTGTCAAGCGGACTACGTGCGCCAACCTGAACGCGTCGATCATGATAACGTAAGAGATAACACTGGCGAAGACCATGAGCAAGACGGACAGATGAGCCACGCACTTTGGTGCAACCATTGCCAATGTCCCATCCTGATCTCCGCGCCACACGGGGTGGAAGTGCTAGGCCCTTGATCCCCTTGAGCCAAAATGGCTACGGAGGCCGTCTCGAGGGCCTCTTGGGCCGTCTTGGAACCCCCGGGGGAGGGGTAACACGGGCCTGACCCGGATGTCCTGGGGGTGGGCCGGAGCCCCGGGACCGGGGACCTGGTATTCATCCACATATATATATATATATATACTAGAACCACGCGCGCGCTTCGCGCGCGCTCAGGTTCTAGCTAGGAGGCGAGCTTGAGTCAACGAAAGTCGCAGGGAAGGGGGCAGGGGGAAGAAGGCCAGAGAGCGCTGAAGGATACAAATACTGGAACCCTCTTGTGATTTTGTGGGGGGCCTCGTCCGGCCGCTCGCTGGGAGTTTGACGTAGCTTCTCGGGAGCCTCTGAACCTGTCGGGGGCCTCCTGGAAGCAGGTTCGAAGCATTTTGTTTGGGGGCCGATTTGGGGCTTCTCGGGGCCTCCTTTGAGCCTCTTGGGGGTCTCCTGGGGCCTCTTGAGGGGCCTCCTTGGGGCCTCCTGGCGGCCTCTTGGGGCGGAAGGCTCGAGCTTGCGGTTCGTGGTCCCCCTCTGGGCCCCCTCTTGGGCCCGTCTTGGGGCCCTCTTGGGCCATCTTGGGCGCCTCTTGGGCCGTCTTGGGGCCCTCTTGGGCTGTCCTGGGGCCCTCTTGGAAGCTTCTTGGGCCGTCTTGGGGCGGTCTTGGAGGCCTCTTGGGCCGTCTTGGACGCGGTGAAAGCCCAAGATGCGAACATGCGAAAAATATACGTTTTCCCATAGGAATGGCACGATTTTTGTTTCTTGGACCTCTCTTGGGGTGCCTCTCGGAACGTCTTGGGCTGATTTTGGAAGCCTTTTGGCGCCTCTGGGCGGCGTTTTGGCGCCTCCTGGGATATGTTGGGCCGGAAGCTCGGAATTCGAGAATGGCTTTCTCCTTCTGGGACCCCTCTCGAAGTCGTCTTGGGGTTCTCTTGGGCCGTCTTGGGGCCGTCCTGAGCCACTCGTGCGCAGCCTTGGAGCGCTCCCGGAGGCCTCCTAGGCCGTCTTGGAGGCCTCTTGGGCCGTCTTGGACGCGGTGAAAGCCCAAGATGCGAACATGCGAAAAATATACGTTTTCCCATAGGAATGGCACGATTTTTGTTTCTTGGACCTCTCTTGGGGTGCCTCTCGGAACGTCTTGGGGTGCTTTTGGGAGCCTTTTGGCGCCTCTTGGCGGCATTTTGGCGCCTCCTGGAGCCTCTTGGGCCGGAAGCTCGGAATTCGAGGTTGGCTTTCTCCGTCTGGGACCCCTCTCGAACTCGTCTTGGGGCTCTCTTCGGCCGTCTTGGGGCCGTCCTGGGCCACTCGTGCGCAGCCTTGGAGCGCTCCCGGAGGCCTCGTAGACCGTCTTGGGCGCCTCTTGGGCCGTCTTGGACGCGGTGAAAGCCCAAGAGGCGAACATGCGAAAAATATACGTTTTCCCATAGGAATGGCACGATTTTTGCTTCTTGGGCCTCTCTTGGGCTGCCTCTCGGAGCGTCTTGGAGGCTTCTGGGACCTTCTTGGTGTCATGACAGGCGTCTTGGAAGGCATCTGGAGCCATCGGAGCGCGTTCCGAAGCCGCCTGCGAACGATCTTGGACGGCGTCCGGCGGTCCGACGAGCCTCCGGGCCCCCCGGGGCTCACATTTGTGGTCGGGGTCCCGGCCCCGGGCCCCCGGACCCGGTGCGCCGTTATATGTATACATGAATAAAACATTTAGGATTGTGTACACAGGAGAAGGACCATCTATAGAAACATACGTAGAACATCAAAGAATCGTGCTCCAGGTGAGCCCAATCGATAGGAGCATACGTAAAACACATGGGATTGGAGCCACTCCTGTTGCCTTCTGAGGCCTCCTGCTCCTGGGGCCTCTCGGGGCCTCCTGTTGCCTTCCGAGGCCTCCTGGCGCTTCCTGTTGCCTCCTGGGGCCTCCTGTGGTTTCCTGAGGCCTTCTGGAGCTTCCTGGGGCCTCCTGGAGCCTCTTGGGACATCCTGTGGCCTCTTGAGTCTTTCTGTGGCCTCCTGATGCCTCCTGGGACCTCATGTGGTCTCCTGGGGCCTCCTGGAGCCTGTTGGAGCCCCTGTGGCATCCTGAGAAGAATCTGCGCCCACGAGCCTGGCCACCAAAACAAGCAAACCGATCGAGACATCCTCAAAATCTGGCCCACCTGGGGGGTGAAAATGAGCGCCTCGCTCGAGACATCCTCCAAATCTGCTCCGAAAGCGAAGGATGTTGGGCCAGAAACAGGCAAACCGCCTGAGACATCCCCACAAAATGGCCGCGAACGAGCCCGTGCAACCACCCCTGGCGGCTCCCCTTAGGGGTGCTGAAATGAGCGCCTCGCTCGAGACATCCTCCAAATCTGCTCCGAAAGCGAAGGATGTTGGGCCCAGAAACAAGCAAACCGCCTGAGACATCCCCACAAAATGGCCGCGAACGAGCCCGTGCAACCACCCCTGGCGGCTCCCCTTAGGGGTGCTGAAATGAGCGCCTCGCTCGAGACATCCTCAAATCTGCTCCGAAAGCGAAGGATGTTGGGCCCAGAAACAAGCAAACCGCCTGAGACATCCCCACAAAATGGCCGCGAACGAGCCCGTGCAACCACCCCTGGCGGCTCCCCTTAGGGGTGCTGAAATGAGCGCCTCGCTCGAGACATCCTCCAAATCTGCTCCGAAAGCGAAGGATGTTGGGCACAGAAACAGGCAAACCGCCTGAGACATCCCCACAAAATGGCCGCGAACGAGCCCGTGCAAAACACCCCTGGCGGCTCCCCTTAGGGGTGCTGAAATGAGCGCCTCGCTCGAGACATCCTCCAAATCTGTGTATGAGTAAGTCTGTGTATGAGTAAGTCTGTATATGAGTATGTCTGAGTGTGAGTAAGTCTGAGTATGAGTAGGTCTGAGTATGAGTAAGTCTGAGTATGAGTAAGTCTGTGTATGAGCAAGTCTGAGTATGTCCGACAGGAGGGGAGGAGAAAAGAGGAGGAGGGAGGAGAAGGAGTAGGAGGCGTCCAAGTAATAACAAGAACCCCATCTTAGGATATGGGGAAGAAACAAAATCCTCGAAAACGGTTCCACGGCACATGGGCCTGGCGAGGGCCCACCGAGGCCAACACTTGCACAACGAACCTAGGAAAAACACATCGCGGATGTTTCACGACGCGAGGTGGTCGGCCATCGCGCTAGAGGCTTCCCATATGGGGCCTGAGTAGACGAGGTCGGAGGATCGCGCCGCGTCGCCAATGCATCGCCGATGCACCAGCGATGCGTCGGCGACGTCGGCGATGCAATGGCACCGTCGGCTGGAAAAGATCTGGCTTCACATCGAGCCGCATGGCCGATGCATCGGCGATGCGGAGCGGTCCTGCGACCCCATCATCCACTCTGAACCATCTGGGAGTTGGCGGCGCGCACAAGGGGATAGGGGGAGGGGGGAAGGTTTCTTCGGAGGAGGCCGCTTCCTAGAAGGCGCTGGCCCTACGTCCATGTTTCTCCTACCCTGAGCATTTTCTGAGGGTGGAGGGCTCAGGGTGAAATCCATATGGGCTTTTGCACCTCGAAACTCAATCAGTCTTGTGATTCACCATTTGCAAATTGAAACCTCGAAAAGCAATCGAAACGGCATTTCAGATTTCACCCTTTGCCCTCCACCCAAAGAAACTGCTCGGCTACCCTCCCCTGCGCGTGGCCGACATCTGGGAGGCACAGACGCGCGCGGCCGGCCCTTCCTCCCCGCGGCCACCGGGGGCAGGGCTGGCAGCAGCGCGCGGCGGTGCTTCTCCTGCCGCGCGCCGCCCGCGCGCGGGCATCGCGTCGGCGCTCAGCAGGTCGAGCTCGAGCGCTCGCTCCGAGGAGCGGCGGGCGGGAGGTCTGGGGCCCCCAAAAGTGGGCGACGAAGTCCATACACATCCACTGCTCCCTGGCCAGGCCTACCCTGAACCCAGCAGCGGTGTATGCGTCATGCCTTCCTGGCTTGGCTAGGAGGACGTATGCACAGCTCCTGGGTTCAGGTTGAGCCTGGCCAGGGAGCAGTGGAAATTTAAAGATTTCGTCGCCCGACCAAACTGTGCGTTGACCACACCGTGTGGTGAGTCAGTTTGGCACGCCCGATGTGGGTATGGAGCAGGAGCGCACAATGCCCAACAGCTGATGGTGTCCAGAACTAACAGCTCGGCTGCTGGGCAGACGACCTTTTGCCTCAAATGGAGAACGTTCGCGGCGTCACCGAGAGCGAGTCCTGTTGAAAGGAACAGAAACTGCTGTCGGTATTCGTACCCAGTCTTTCCGTTCCAGTGTCAATCGTACCGATCAGCGGGGATCCGGGCGTTGGGACTCGGATTGTTCTCCGAGGACGTTTCGGGCGACTGGGGCATCCGAGGTCCCGAAGCCATGCAGTGATGGGCCGCACGGTGAGGTCTCTTGGGATTTCGAGGTCACCGCACGGTCTGTCACCACACAGTTTGGGGACCCCCGAAGGGAGCGGGTACGACTACCAGACAGGCTGGACCGCACCCGCCAGGGGGGGGCTCGGACTTGCTAAGGCTTCGGGTTGCGCAAAGACTCCTTCTCCTCCTCCTCATCCTGCTCCTCCTCCCCTCCTCCTCCTCCTCCTCCTCCTCCTCCTCCTCCTCATCATCATCATCATCATCATCATCAGCAGCAGCAGCAGCATCAGCATGCATCAGCAGCATCATCATCATCATCATCATCATCATCATCAGCATCAGCATCAGCATCAGCATCATCATCATCATCATCATCATCATCATCATCATCATCATCATCATCATCATCATCATCATCAGCATCATCATCATCATCATCATCAACATCATCATCATCATCATCATCATCATCATCATCATCATCACCATCATCATCATCATCATCATCAGCATCATCATCATCAGCATCATCATCATCATCAGCAGCATCATCATCATCATCATCACCATCGTCATCGTCATCATCATCATCATCATCATCATCAGCATCATCATTGTCAGCATCATCATCATCATCAGCATCATCATCATCAGCAGCATCACCATCATCATCATCAGCATCATCATCATTACCATTATTATCATCGTCATCGTCATCATCATCAGCAGAAGCATCATCATCAGCAGCATCATCATCATCAGCAGCATCAGCATCAGCATCATCATCATCATCAGCATCATCATCATCATCGTCAACATCGGCATCATCATCAGCATAAGCATCAGCATCAGCATCAGCATCAGCATCAGTATCATCATCAGCATCATCGTCATCGTAATCATCATCAGCAGCAGCATCATCATCGTCATCATCATCCTCATCATCATCATCATCGTCATCATCATTATCAACAGCATCACCATCACCATCATCACCACCACCACCATCTCATCGTCCTCACCATAGGCAGCTGAGAGGATGCCGTCGCGAGCTTCAGCAACGGCGACCAAGAGAAACGCAAGTGGCTCGAACAGTTCTCGGAACATTGCAAGGGCGCGGCCCGTGCGAAGAACGCGCGGTCGGGGTCACGAGACGTGGAAGTTCGGCACTCTGAACTTCAACGCCTACACCATCCTGGACAAGTATCTGGGCTCGGAATTGGCCAGTTGCGGCGTCGTGCTGGTCCAGGAAACCAAGCTCTCCCAAGAGCGCACAACTGATGCGAAGGCTGAGCTGTGACGACGTGGCTGGCGAGCGTGTGGTGCAGAAGCAGTGCCTTCGCCGGCTGGGGGGCTTGCATCGAATGGGTTACTGCCGTGTGCTCGACAGCATCACGGGCTAGCTACAATGCTGGGCTCGAAGCCTGCAGTGCTTCGTCAAGGGCGTGTCCAGGTCCATCGTCATTCAGGGGTGACTCGTGGTGGAATCATTACTGGAATGTGCATTTAGAATATGGGGTTGGACTGAAAGTATTTAATGTGTGCGCGCTCCGTGAGCTTGCAAGCCGACTGCCTGAGCATAGGTTGCCATGCGGTGTAAGCGGAGTATTCAACGTCTCCAAGGCCGAGCTGGAGCACAGTGGTGTACTCAAGCGAGGTGCGCTCGCGTCATATCTGACGTCCTACCCCTCCCTCCCATCCCTTACCATGGCGTAGATCCCCTCTCTATTCGCACAATCGGACGTCGTAACATGGCATAGCAGAGCATGGCATAGCATGGTGTTGAATATCAACGCGTAGCATGACATAGCATGGCGTGGCGACGCCCCAAAGTGGGGAGGGTTCTGCGGCCAAAAAAAACAACGAATCCACACTAAATGTGGAATCACTTCCGATGCTGCTTTTCGGAAGTACCGAAAAGCACCGAAAACCATGCAGTGGCATGGCACTGGAAAGAATGACGCCAACGCGGCAGCAGGAGCACGATTCGGGACGAGCGGAAGCGCGGAAATGAGGCCAGCGCTGCAGCGGGAGCACGACTCGGAACGAGCGAAGGCCGAAGATGATGCCAGCGCCGCTTCAGCGGAAGCAGCTATTTGAAAAAGAAACCAAGCGAAAACCCATTTCCAGGGAATGCTGTGTCTAGAGAAACAGTACGCGGAGGGGAGCAGGAGATCTTCTGGACGTCATCAGGCGAGAGGGAGGAGAGTAGTATTTGTATTGTGTAATTGTGAAGTATTTCGACGCCGCGGTAGTTAGCACACTGGAGGCCACGTGTGAGCAGACGAACCGCTCCATTGACCTGTTCATGGTGTCGCGAGGACTGCAGATGGTGGGAGTACAGATGGTCGCTGACCCCCCCTCCCCCCCCCATCGACCTGTGGTCACGGTGGCGACGGACAAGGGCAGGCCGTGGATCCGTGTCCTGGACGTGCCTCGTACCTCTCCTGTGGAGCGACCTGCAGGCTGCTGGTCGCTCAAATGCTGTTGTGCCAGCTGCTCCAGGTGCTGATCCCGTCGCCGTTTGTGTTGGAGGCGACCAGTCTTCGGAGTCACAGGGCTTACATGATACTTCGAGGACGCGGCAATCACACTGCGACGGAGGCCAGGACGGATCTCGGGAATGCGGGACCGACGACTCTGACGTGGACTTCGACATGGATGCCGAAGCCAGGGACGTGGACTTCGACATCGATGCAGAAGCCAGGGTACGCACTGCTCAGCTAAACCATGCCCAGCCAGAGAGTGCCAGCCCTGAGCGCCCCGCAGCTTCTGGTGAGGCTCGGAGTATGCGGGCGCAGCAGTTATGTTGATTCGCTGTGTTGAAGTCCCAAACGTGGCGTTCTGGCACGATTCTGGATCGTCAAGACGCAGCAGGTTGATACGTGGCGCTGAAGCCTCCTCCTCCTCCTCCTCCTCGTCCTCCTCCTCCTCCTTCTCCTCCTCCTCCTCCTCCTCCTCCTCCGCCTCCTCCTCTTCCGCCTCCTCCTCTTCCGCCTCCTCCTCCTCCTCCTCTCCTCCTCCTCCTCCTACTCCTCCTCCTCCTCCTCCTCCTCCTCCTCCTCCTCCTCCTCCTCCTCCTCCTCCTCCTCCTCCGCTCGGCGGCGTCGAGTCCTGCGGCTGCGGCTCCGCGGCCGGCGACGGACCCCTCCCCCGGGACCCCTGCTCGCCGGCGAGGGCGGCGCCTCCGGGGCTGCTGGAGCGGCAGCGGGAGCCGCCGACGCCGCCGTTGCCGCCGCTGCCATCCCCGTTTCGTTTCGTCGTCGTCGCCGCCGCCGCCGCCATCGTCGTCGTCGTCGTCGCCGTTGTCGTCGTCGTCGTGGAGGTGGTGGTGATTGTCGTCGTCGTCGTGGAGGTGGTGGTGATGGTCGTCGTCGTCGTCGTCCTCGTCGTCGTCGTGGTGATGGTGGTGGTCGTCGTTGTCGTCGTCGTCGTCGCACGCGCCGTGGAGGCTCCAGGCCGCACGAGTCCAGCAAGCCATTCCTGGAGTAGGTGCTGGCAGTAAACTCTGCACTGTCTTCCGCCAGAATCTCTCCGAGTTTGCTCTTTTCGGTGACTCCAGTTTCGAGCGTCCCTTGCCCCGATCGCGGCGCCATACTGCAGGCGCGGTTTCCCGATCACTTGATGCATTGTTCGGGGATCTTCTGACCCGGGTCAATCCAGACCCGGGTCAGCAAAAAACCAAAAACTGCAATGCAAGAAAAAAAAACTGCACCGCAGGTCTTCGCAGACCCGGGTCAGCCAATACGCGCGGCCGCCTCGCGGCCACGAGCGGCTCCCTAACCCGGGTCAGCCAGAGGGGGTCTTCGCAGGATCCTGCAGGATCTGGCGCCCTGGCTGACCCCCGTTTGCATTGACCCCCGTCTCGAGGCTCCCGAATGGTCTCACTGCCCCGTGGCTTCCCCGCCTCACCCAGATCCCCCTCTTCTCCTTTCTCACCGCGCGGCTGCGGCGGTGCCCTGCCGGGGCGCCCGGGAGCCAGGGCGGCGGGCCGGGCGGAAGGGGAGGGGGGGGGGCCGTCGGACGAGAGGGGGTCGAGGCTCGAGGTCTTTTTGGGGGTCCTCGCGTCGCTTCCCAGCGGCTCTCCAGCCTCGGGATGCTTTTTCCAGCAGCCGCGCCTCGCCGAGGAGCGCCCAAAGGGGGTCCAGATCGTCCCGAGCGGCCGCTGGAGGCCCGAATCATGAGCCCCTCGCGTCGCGGAACGACCGCGACGGCACGTCTTTGGCGAGATTCGGCCTCTGGCGGCCCTTGCTAGGCCGCTGGACCGTCGAGAACGACTCGGGGCGAAAAACCGGCATTGGGGAAAGGGTCGAGACCTCAAGGCATCCACATCGGGACACGCTGCGGGAAGATCACGACGCCAGAGGACTGAGACTACACGTCGACGCTGATCTGGGCCAGGCCGATTCTCGGCCGAGACTCGGTGTATACGCTCTCCTCGCCCTCCTCCTCCTCCTCCTCCTCCTCGTCCTCCTCCTCCTTCTCCTCCTCCTCCTCCTCCTCCTCCTCCTCCTCCTCCTCCTCCTCCTCCTCCTCCTCCTCCTCCGTCCCAAGCCGAAAGCGAAGTGCCAAGAGAGAGGGCGCGAGAAAGCCTCCCCCCCCCAGACATCCGCAGCCTCTCTTCGCCAGCGCGCTCCATCAACGGATCGCTGCGTCGGGCTGTGACTCTACGCGTTGGGCCAGACGCGAATCGTCTCATCCGATCCCTCGCTTCCCTCCTTCCCCCCTCCCCCCCCACCCTCCCTCCGTCCATAATGATTCCGTCCTTCCTTTCGCCCTTCCTCCCCACGTTCCCTCCTTCCGGCCTCACGCCCGCCCTCCCTCTCTACACCACAGCTCCCCTCCCTCCCACTCCCCCCACTGCATCCCTCCTCATCCACCCCGTTTTCCCCTTCGGCATCCTCTTCCCCTTCCAGCGGCGAGGCGGGATGAGGATGAAGCGTTCGACCTCCAACAAGAGCTTCGGTGCGCTGCAAGCGGTCCCCCAGATGGCAGACTGAAAGTAAGAGAGCCGTACAGACGTGCATGTTCAGTTAATCACGCACGTCATTTCGGGCATAGCTAAAATCCCACCAACTCTCTGGGCGAAGGTGGTTTAGCGCGTTTCGTGTTCCATTCTCCCCCCTTCTCCCCCTTCGTGGGTGTACCCCTCCCCCTGCGCATGGGTCGGAATAATGGGGTCGCGGATACTTCGAGCGTCCAGGGGACCGTGTGGGCCTCCTGGCCTCCGGGGGGGGGGGGGGGGGGGCGAGGCTAATCAGGGCCCCCCTTTTTTGATCGGTGCCTCCAAGATGGCCCCAAGACGGGAGGGAAAGGCTGCTGAGGAGCTCTAGGAAGGCCCCAAGCCAAGAGGCGCCAAGCAGGCCCCGAAGAGTCCCCGAAGAGGCCCCCGAAGAAGCCTCCAAGAGGCCCCCGAGCGCCCCCGAAGAGACCGCAGAAGGCACCCAGAGCTCCCCAGACACCCCAGTGGACTTCTAAAAGCAACGAACTACATAAAGACAAACATACACTTTCAAAGGTCTGCGCAGGTTTCTTGGATTGGTGCTGAACACCCCCCCCCT